CATTTGTAATCAAATGTCTTTTAGCAGCTTTTGCTCCTTCCTCAGCCATCAAACAATTTAAAGACAACACAATAACATGCAGTACCCAGACTTTCCATGTATTTTTCATCTTTACATGGCTTTATTTTAAACTCTATTTCTTTTATTTTTATTTTTAATTTTTGTTTTTTTGAGACTAGGTTTCTCTGTGTATTTTTGGCTGTCCTGGCACTCACTATGTAGACTAGTTTGTCCTTAAACTCACAGAGATCCACCTGCCTTTGCCTCCCAAGTGTTGGAATTAAAGGTGTGTGCCACCACACCCAACTACTCTCTTTCTTTCTTTTTTTATTTTAAGGACTTTATCCTTTTTCTTTTCTCTCCTAAGCCTACAAATATTTTTAAACACACTGTAAACTGTTTAGCAGCCTTCTTTGTCTGAATCTATCTTTACTGTATATCTCTCTTTTTCTGACCACATGAGTCTTTAATTTGCTAAGCAATATGGCAAGGATTAAAGCTGTGGATTTGACAGCTGGATCTACCCCACTTCTTAGCTTTCTGAGAATCTAGCCTCATGGTGGAGGTACTGGCCAGAGCCATGTTTATTGGCACAACTCTATGGCATTTCAAGGTCCCTGCCTGTTGGATGAAATTCCACTTGTTGTTTCCCAGACACCTGGCTAGCAAAACCCCAAATAATCACACAGAAACTATATTATTTAAATCAATGTTTGCCCCCTTGGCTCTAGCTTCTTATTGACTAACTCTTACATATTAATTTAATCCATCTTAATTAATCTGTGTATCACCACCTGGTAGTGGGTTACCAGAAAAGTTTTAGCATGTCTGACTCTGACAGTGGCTCTGTGGTATCTCCCATGCTCCACCCTTCTTTCTCCCAGCATTCAGTTTAGTTTTTCCCCACCTACCCGAGTTCTGCCCTATCAACAGGTCAAGGCATTCTTTACTTATTAACCAATAAAAACAACACATAGACAGAAGGACCTCCCATACCACCTACCACCACCAAGAAGCATGCTGTCAGCCGTTCATAAACACCATTTAAGTGCTTTGTGGAAGAGCCTCTTAAAAGAGCTGCAAGGTTTTTGCAGCTAAATCTGAATCAGGTAGGCTCTCTTAAATGAGACATATTTGCCTCTAGCAAACAGAGCACACCCGAGAAAATGCTGCTACCAAGAAGCCATGCTTAACTCTGTTCTTTTGTGTCTAGAATTACTTTCCAATCTCTCTCAGGTTTTATGTGGATATAATTGTTCACATTGGTGCCATTTGTTGACCAAGGTTTCTGTCTTGTCCAATCCTGCAGCTATTCAGCCCCAAATAAATACACAGAGGCTTACATTAGTTATAAAATCATTGGCCTATTAGCTCAAGCTTCTTATTAACTAACTCTTACATCTTATATTAGCCCATTATTCTTGTCTATGTCAGCCACATGGTTTGGTATCTTTTTCAGTGAGGCATTCTCATCCTGCTTCCTCTGCATCTAGATGACACCTTCAGACTGACCGTTTCCTCTTCCCAGAATTCTCCTGTTCTTGTTGCCCTGCCTTTACTTACTGCCTGGCTACTGGCCAATTAGTGTTTTATTAAAATACAAGTGGCAGGATAAAGGACCATTGTCTGACAGCAACCCTATCATCCTGTAAAAAACAGGAAGTTTTAAGAGTTCACCCAAACTCTCAGCTGGCAGGAGGCAGGGGGAGGGGATCTCTTGAGCAAATGACCAGCTAAGTGAAAAGATTCAGTGACATGAAATCAGCAAGAGACTCATATGCCTTTGGTATATGAGGTGGAGAGAGACTGCCGCATCAGCAATGGAGCTGCGTGTACACACACACACACACACACACACACACACACACACAAACACCCAACTCCTGCAAATAGTCACATTCACATAGACATTTCAAAAAAAGAAAAATTTTAACTGAAACATTTTTTCCAGAAAGGGTTCACCAGTGAATTCTTTTTGGCTCTCAAATTTGAAATAATGTTGAACGTTTACAGAAAATAAGTAATAAAGAAATAATCTGAGCAGCTAATTTTCTAGCTGCCAAAAACTGATGAAGACATCACAAAGGGAGACTCAGGCCCACATTATTCTCATGAACAAGAAAAGCAAATTTCCTCATGTAAATGAATGGTCTAGAACTACAACGTCAATAATCCTTTAAGACCTGGTTTTTGGGTATCTTATCAAACATGTAAGTGCGTGCGTGCCCCCCTCACCCCCACACACACCACTCTTTCCTTTATGGTCACTGGGGTCAATAACTGACCAAGTTCAGAGAATCAACACCCTCCCCCTGCAACTATTTTGCTTCCTCATCTGTGTGGAAATGTTTCTCCATGGTTGTCTGCAGCCCAGCTCTGCACACCATTTTAACAAGTATGTAGGCAAATTCTAAAGTTTCAGGTATAAGGACATTCATATAAATTCATAATAGCTATCTGTTACCAGGTGATGATTCAAATGTGCCTACAGCCCTACCCTCTGTAATTATTACCCTTGGGAGCCCTGCAAGAAGAGAAAAGTGAAGACATGTTACCTTAAAAGCACTTAATATTCATGTCACAGAATGGTGAGCACCTAGCCTAATGACAACCAGCCATAATTTGCTGATTCAAGCAGCCGCACAAAGAGGGCCAGGAAATTATCTTTCAGGAAGCTTGCACTGATGCGACTCATGTGAGGGGCTGAGGTCATAAAAACTTAGAAAGACACCACTGTTAACCAAGGATGACCAGAAGCCATGAACTGGAGGGGTTTTAGCTTTCTACATAGTTATAAAAAACATGACAGATTTTGGGTAGAAATCCTCTCAGGGTGAGGATTGTCTTAGAAAAGGAATTTTTCTTAACCTTGAAGCTAAATGAGAATGAGAGAAAGAGAGGCAAATCACAATTCTTCTTCAACTCAATTCACAAATTTCAAGTCACGCATGGTTCTAGAAAGAGAAATCTCAGCCTCTCACACTCCTTCCCACTGAGAGCAGCAATCGTCTACAGTTCCTTCCCCTTAGTCACCTACCTGGTGGTCCTAGGTGATCTGATCAACTGTTACGATGTCTCACTGCTTGGATTCCCGTAATCCTCACTGAGTTTAGTAATCCATAATTAATTAATACTAATGTATGCTAGACTGTGTTCTTAAAAAATCTTGGACCATTGCATCTAGTGATACATATTCCATATCACACTCCAGTGAGTAGCATTTATGGACGGGATGGAAAGGATCCTTGTAGAGGTATGTGGTGCTCCAGGCTCAACACTTTTGCATGTTCCCTCAAGTTCCAAGGATCATGACCTCCTTTCTCTTCTTCCTCCACACCAACAAGTACCTCATCTCCTTGCCCAAGCCGATGGCTCTTCGCGTGACCCACTGCAAATCCTTTGTCTCCTCTCACTCTCTTCTAACATAGAAATGTCTATGTAACATGATATGTCAGGCCTGAAGACAACAGACTTCATGGCACCATGACAGCAATCATGAAAGGACCAATTCTTAGCACCTCTTGCTGAAAGTCTTCCAGTCCCCACCCCATGGAACTGCAACTGGACACTCAATGCCCAGTTTCCAGGTTCTCTGTCTTCCTAGGTGAGGGTCCTGACTGTTCCCATTCTAGTCTAGAGGAGGGTCCTCCTCAGAAGCCTTCCTCCCCTAAGTGTAACCCTCCCAGTTCAAGTCTTGGCAATGGACATATGGACTCTTTTGTGCCACGTGGTATTTGCTTAATTTGTGCTTTTTAACTTTATTTTCTCTTCTGTCGTTTCCTGAGCCCCATAGAATGAGGGATTCAGTGGTATTCTCTGAAAGTCTTCATTATGCTCTCTGGGCTGTGGCCTCACCCAAGCACCTGGGCAAGACATAGCAACACCAAAGGTATTGATTCCCAAGCTCCTCCTCCACCCACACTTTGGGTCCCTAGAGAGCAGGAACAAAGTATTTACCTTTCCATCCTGGGCTACAGAAGCTGTGACTGTCAGACACCAAAGCTGCCTCTGCCAGAGCCTCCTGTGCCCAGTTTTCAAGTAAAGTCATGAAACTGGTATTAGGAAAGAGAAACCAATATCTGCACATTAAAGCAAGGTTTTGAGATGATGGAAACAAAGTATGCATTAGGACGGAGTAACTGGAAGAAATGCAGGTGCCGCTGGAGAGAACTCTTGCTCATTACAGTGATGATTTCTTTATGCATAGCACAGCTCACTGAAAATGCTGCCTATTACTGACTATGCAGAGTGTCTTGATTTAATTTAAAGGTCAGTGGGGTCCCCTCTTAGAAATTCCATTTTCTGCTTTAAAATGGGGAAAAAAATAAATTCGAAGAAACAAAATCTAACTGTTCTAATTCCAAAATAAAATATGTCATACATTATTTACAAGACGCATTATACATGGATCATTTTAAACATATTTCTGATATAAGGTTGTCATGCTTGATAAACAAAATTGTGATGTACAGTGAAATTTGAATTTCAGATCAACACTCACATATTCCATGCTATAATATCTGGTACATATCCATACTAAAAGAAATTTTATTTACCTGAAATTCAAAATTAACTGTTAGACCTTTATTTATGATATATATCTAATAACACTATTCTAATATGAGGTACAGAAAATAATTAAAATAAGATTGAAATTTTTATACATTGCAAACCAACACTGTCTTTTCTTGACTTATGGATATTCTGTATTGTGGGTAGCTGTGTCATGATATTCTAATTATTCATCATTAAGGTTATTCTTGTATGTGACCCTGAATGACTTTGGAGAAATTTTCTGAAAGTAAATTATTTTCCAATGAAGCAGGAATTCATATAGTTTTTTCTTTAGAAATTAGTCAAACCAAGTATAAAGTAAAAGAATCTACGCATTTTTTCCAGTTAGATTTTACTTCAGTTATAGAATGATGGCACCTCCCTATGTCGTGATCACTCCCTGCTCTGAGCACAGTAAGAGTCTGCTCAGAAGAGTTAAGGCTAAACTGAGCCCCTCTGGAACCCAGGGAGGGACCAAGACAGAGAGGCAACAGAAGATCCCATGAGGTCAAGTGGGCTCTCTCTGGGTGAAGTGCTGGATGCCAGAAATATTTACATAAATTAAATATTGGTAAGTGGAAGAAGAAGACTCAGTGAAGAGAGTTAAATCGAAATAAAGAGAGAGAGAGAGAGAGAGAGAGAGAGAGAGAGAGAGAGAGAGAATACAGCAGGGAGAAGAGAACAAGAACATCCAGTGTCAGCTTCACATTCCCAGCAGAAAATGGGGCTGAAAGGCTGTGTGAAGCAGAAGATGGCAGAACCACAGACACACAGTCAAGGCAAAGCACAAGAGAGGGCCAGATTAAAATAGGCCAAGAGATGGCATTTAACAGAGATCATCTAACCCGTCTCATGTTTAGAGATGAACAGGTACCAAGACTGCAGAGAATTGATCTAGGAAAGTTGACAGCAATCCTGAGAATTGCCCGTGTTTGTGAATAAGGAAGACAAAGATTCAAGTGTAATCTCAGAAGACGAGAGGTCGGGGTGGGGGGCGAATGGGCAGGAGACAGAGAAAGTCTCAGACAGCAGATAGATAAGCAAGAATACTTGTTTGAGAAAAACAAAATCCCAGAATGAAAGATGGCACCCACTCACTAAAGAAACTCCTAGAAGACCACAGAATTACTTTGAAGGAGATAAGAACATTGAGGACCCATTCTGTAGATGTTTCATACTTGGAAAAAAAATGGAAAATTCTTCAGGTTTAAAAATTAAAAAAATCAAATTAAATTCAGGTTTTTTTAATTTCCAATATCAGACAATCTTCCAGTGTCATAAGCAGAAAAGTTAATGATGTAAAATTCTACATTCAGTCCTGGATTCAAGGGTAAATTGGTAGAGAACTGCTTTTATACTCAGTACTGAGCTGGAGATGGTCACACACATAAGGTGTAGATTTGGGAACAGTGGAACTTAGAAAGGTGACCTTTCACCCACAAACATTCAAAAAAACTTTCAAAACCCCCAAAAAAGCACACTCCAATCATCATGACAGGTCCAGGCTATAACCCATCATACAAGTCCACTAAATTCCATCGCTGAGGATGCAGATGCCTCCCTGAGATGTAAGAAATATTTCATCTCTTAGTCCAAAGCTCATCCCTTAGGATAAAAATGGATGAAAGGAACTCAGTTTTTCTCAAATAGGAGGAAGGACTGAGCTAAAAAACAAAAACCGAAATTAGAGCTATGAGTGATCAATTGCTTGGGAGTTCACTGCCCACACGGGCCCTGATACTCATAACACTCAACACACTGCAGGAGACCAAGACATCTTTCACAGAGATCCAGTGGCCAGTGACCCAAAATAGGTCCCAGCCACATGGAGTACTTTCTTTTTTCCTTCCAATCTGTCATCTGAAAACTTACCATGGTTCTGTGGTCACTGGAACACCCCCATGACTTTGTGCTAATGAAGGATTTGTTCCTGAGGGAGCTATGTATTCTCACCATTGGCCAATCTCACGTAGGACCTAGGAGCAGCCACATCTGTGAACTGCCACGCCTTCTTGCAGCCACACTTGCCTATAGCCACATGTACCTGTAGTCACACACGCTCATAGCCAATTCTGACTATATATAGCCACTCTAGCCTATACACAAGTATTATGGTTCGAATGAGATTTCCCCCATAGTCTTGGACCTTTGAGTACGTGGCTCTCAGTTGGTGGTGCTGTTGGACAAAGCTTAGGGGCTGTGGCCTTGTTGGAGGAAGCATGTCATTGGAGGCAGACTCTGAGGGTTTAAAGGGCGGGTGTCATTTCCGGTTTGCTCTCTGCCTTCTGCCTGCAGTTTAAGATTTGAGCTACTGCCATGCCCCCCCTCTTGTCCCTCTGGAACCCTAAGTTCAAATAAACCCTTCCTTCTATGGATCACCTTCCTAATTGTGTTTTCTCACAGCAATAAAAAAGACTACTATGCCCTGCCTGGCTAAAGACACTGACTACAATCACACCGAGCTGAAGCTGTATCCACCTGCAGAGACATATGCCAACAGGCATGCCTTCCTGAATGCACACCAGTATCCATCTTCCCTTCTCCCAGCCTCTCCTGACCAAGCTGCTCATACTGAGTCTGAGGTCCTGAAGCAGAGATCGATGAATGGTGGTGTTTATCTTGATTTCTCTCTTTATTCCGTCCAGATTGGGCCATAGTGATGTCGATGCCCAGGGTGGGTCTTCCTGCTTCCGTTAGTCTCCTATTTCACAGACACGCCCAAAGACTTGTACCCAAGATGAGTCTAGGTCCAGCAAGTTGGCAATCGATATTAACCACCACTTGTTTGAAAAACAACCCAAATACCACATTCTGTATGGCGTGGAAACTTTATGATTTAAAGTAAGACTTTTATTCAAAGACTTCAGAGTTATCAATGAAAGCCAAGTGGGCTTTAAAATAAATAATTGCTATATTTCATAAGTGTCAATAAAGTTTATTTCTGATGCTGATCATTAGAAAATACAGATTTTAAATTTTTTTTAAATAAACAAACTGAAAATCTTCTAGAAAGAGCACATTGTTCCAACTGGGCTACCTTGACATCACTCCACTGCTGGTGGCATCAATAGGCAAATAAGACATACCAGTGGAACCGTAGTCTCTCATGGTTTGGAGGCTGGAAGTCCATCCCAGGGTTTGGGCTGATCTGATTTCTGGTAAGGGCTCTCATCCTGGCTTCAGTTGGCTGCTTCATGCTGTATCCTCACATAACTGACCTTTATGGAGTGGTCAGGAAAGGCACAGCACGAAGCAGGAAGTGGGCAGGGAGAGGGTTCCTTGAGTAGTGGATGTGTCTCTTTTGTAAGTGCAAGTAGCCCACTCAGGTCATATACGTAGTCTAATTCAAGCTCAGTTACTTCCTTATACCAATTGCTGCCACGCTGGGTGAGGGATCCGCAAAGGGTCAGTTCATGTCTTCATGTCATGAACGTCTTCAGACAGAGGACCTGGGAGGAACAGAAGCAGGTCTGCCATCAAGAACAAAAGGAAGACTCGGGAGAGTGCAGAGAGACAAGAGAGGAGACAGACACCAGACAAAACTCTGAACTGGTATGATTTCATCCCCTAAAAGTCATCACCATGCACAAAATGTCACAATGTCCAAACACTAAAGCATTCACGTGCTGTGTTAAGCAATGATAACCAACAATGACGAGAGTCACGGGGCTGATAAAATAATGTAAGACTCTGACTCAAAATAAAGCCCAACTGCGAGATGTCTAGCAATCTGCTCTAAAGAGAGAATTCTGCAGCTTTCTGAAATACATCTTTAAAAAACACACAAATGCAAATCCATGTATCTTCTTTTTATTTTAAAGTCAAATTTATATACCATCATATAACACTTAGTGTACACTATTACACATTAAATAAAATTTAGGCCAAATCAATCGATCACATATTGACAATTCTGCAGCTGGCATATTTTCTTTATGTTTGATTTTAAAGAATAAGTCTTTACTGGAATAAAGATTAACATCTGCAGGACAAATGCTAAGAGAAATGTAGAAACACAGCAAGCAAGGGAGACAGGTGCGGCAACCATCTAGTTCAAAACAGTCTGAAGAGCCTGCTGCATACAGGGGCACTGAAACTCTAGGGGAAAATGCTTTTGAAAGGTGTACAATCGAAAAGAAACAAAAACCAAGGTGGACAGAAACACATGAGTTCTTGGGTCTATACAGAAGTGAAGGATTTCACTACAGCGAAGGGCTCTGGACTAAGCTTCCTAAAATGGCATATCACCTTGGGGAAACTCTTTCACGAAAGAAGAAACTGAAGGCTATGAAAATGAACCCAGTGTTTTCTCCTTTGCATGCAGAGCAGGGAAAAACAGGAACTTCTGCTGGGTTCATTTTAACATGATTCCAAAGGGACAGGCTGATGGGATTATTTACTGGAATATTCATGAGAAACAGATGAAAACAAACTTGGATTAATAGGGGATGCTAGTGGCATATGTAGGCTACAAAATATAGAAAAGTCAGTAGCTTCTCTTTTAACTGACAGAGTAATCATAAAATCATACCGAAATAACCTCCTCCCGCAAACAGCTAAACACACTGCCAAACAACAAACTTTAAAACATGTGCGCAGCTACTCAGGGAAAGCTAGAGTCAGGGAGAATGTACTAGAAGACAGTCTAATAACTGGAAAGTGACTAGACATCAGGACATCAGTGTGATAAAAATATCAATTCTAAGCAAATTAAGACAAGAGATAAATATGGGGAATTGATCAATTCTAATCAAATTATGTATACCAAGAAATTACCTTTAGAGACTTGTCACCTTTGCCACAGAAGCTGAAACCTAACACAGCCATCTCTCAGCATCCTGAGGAATGAGCCCTAGGACCCTACAGTATTACCTCTTAGCATCATGGGGAATGCGCCCCCGGACCCCACATTGTCATCCTCAATGTCATGAAGACTGAGCGTTAGGACCCCACACTGCCATCCCTCAGAATCGTTAGGAATGAGCCCCAGGACCCTGCGCCCTCCAGCCCATTGATGTTCAGATCCACAGATGTACAATTCCTTCACCAACAACAGTGCGATATTTACATACAACAGATGCACTTTCTTTTATTTACTTTAAATCATTTCTGGGTTGCTTCTAATGCCTAAATAAATATGCATGCTAAGTAAATAGTAGTTGTATTGTAGTGTCTAAGGAATGATAACAAGAAAAAGTGAGTCTGTTCAGTACAGACTTGGCACCTTTTTGGCCTCCCTCCTGGGTCTGCAGAGAGTATTCTCTGTGTGTCTTCACAGGCACAACCCACTCTATCGTTCCATTTTATGCCCTAATAAGTTTTTATGAAGACACCAGTCTTTCAAACAAGGGATCACTTTAGGGGCCTCATTTTAACTTAATCTCCTCTTCAAAGGCCCTCTTTTCAAATAACCTAATCTATGATGGAGAACTCGATCCATGGATTTGCAGTGTCAAGGGTCAGCCCACAGCAAGAATGACTGAGGCAGGAAAAGGAAGTGGGTAAAGACCGAGCCCAGAAAAAGGAAGTGATTAAGGGCCCACCTCATCTGATCCAGGGACAATGGGCAGAGTGGAAGGCTCCATCTGATGTCTGGCTCCTAGACACACATGGACCCCATCTACCATAAATCTGAGGGAATTGTGTTTAAATAGCAGAAGAATAAAGCTACCTGGATCTCTTGTTGGCCACAAGGAAGATACCCCTTCCCAAACACACACACACACACACACACACACATACACACCTGCATCAGTCTGTGTCAGATATAAGAAACAAACACCCATTTTCCTCCCACTGAAGTAATATAAATTGGACTGGAAGAGACCCAGGTTAATACAGTGCCTCACTCAGCAACCATAGTCTCCATCCATGAAGCTTGAAGCTTTACATAATTCCTGACAAGATCTTCCTCTGAGTTTCCAATATTTTGCTGCAAGGGGCTGAAGAGATGGTACAGTCAGTAATGTGTTTGCTGCACAAATCTAAGTATCTGAGTTTAAATCCCCAGAACTCACATTAAAAACTAGTCATATATATAGTCCATGCTTGTACTTCCAGAATGGAGGAAAACCCTGGCGCTCACTGTGTGTCAGCCTAGACTGACAGGCAAGTGCCAGGCTCCTGGAGGACATCCTGTCTCAGAACACTTTGAAAGGCAGCCTTTGGCCTCCACAAATAGACGTCATCATGCACACGTGTGCCCATGCAATGCCCACAGCTGCACCACACACACATAAATTGTCTGAAGAGTAAGGAAAACACTAAAACCAATCAATATTATTTATAGATGGAAAAACCTGGTGACCAAATTCATCAGAGCAAAGTTGGCTTTTGAAAGACTTCGCATCATTGTCCTCATTCTTAATATTGTTTTAATCAAATCTCTGACAATAGAAGTTGAGAGAAGAAGGGCTTACTCTGGCTCACACTTTGAGTGGATACAGTCTGTCGCAGCACAGAAGACGATGTGGCAGGAGCCTGTACTTTCTGTGGTAACAATAACACAAAGCTTCTTGTGAACATGTCTGTGGGCATGAAGAAGGCTGACAGCATCTACCAGAAGCTGGGATGGTGTAGAACCCCCCAAGATCCACCTGCCGACGACACACTTCCCGTAGCTAGATCTCACCTCCAAAGGTTCTGCATCCTCCCAAAACAGCACCACAGCAGGACACCACGGTGTTGGAACACACTAATCTGTGGGAATATTTCATACTGAAACCATACACACAGAGCACGTCTGTCCTAAGGAATGGCCAGTAGTGAGAAGGAAAACAGGCGACAACCCCACCCACTGGCACAGTCTTTGAAATATATCACAGCACAAAGGCATTGAACAAATGAGTGTTGCGGTTGCAGCTCCAGCTACATGCTACAAACGTAAAGATCTACTGACAAGGAGATTGCGACCCAGACTAAAACAGAGGCAGCGGCAGTTGAGAGAGGTGTTTGTAGCGCTACAGAGGACGTCTTGAGGAGCTTGTTGTTCTGCCCACTTCTGCTTTCATTTGGTCTAAAGTCACCCCACAAATGAAAACCTGGAGACATTAAACCTTTTCCAGTACCTCAAAGATGGGAGCCAAAGGGCATAGCATCTGCTGAACAGCTCTGAGGATGCAGAACAGAAATTTAAGACTAGAGCCTGGGCAGAGCCTTCTCCCAAAAAGTAAAAAGACACAGTGCCCACACTAATGGAGCATCCCTTTAATTTTTGCCAGAGACAATTAGAATATAGTCCTTAATTGACAATTACAATACAGACCATGACCATGCATGTGCAAAGTCACCTTTTAAATAAGCCATGAAAATCTGTATAGAACCCCAAATCTTCTTAAAACACAGCAAACTGAGTCTAGAACAGCACGGGATAGGGAGAGCTCACAACAATCCAAACGAGAGCCCTTTGCTTAGTTAACCCCAGAGTTCTCCAGAAGTTTCACAAGGCCATAGCAGAACTCGTGGGCTACGTATTGTTCACAGATGCCCACACCATCATGCTGTCAGGGCAATGTGCTATGAACACAGGGGACTTCATTCTTGTGTCGGTTTAGTCTCAGTATTTCTTTTCCAAACGCGCCATGCCTGAAGTGTGGTTCTGTTGTTGTTGCTTTAGAGATTTACTTATTTTTATTTTATGTTTATAAATATATTGCCTATATCCATGAATGTATACCATGTGAGTACCTGGTACCCATGGAGGGCAGAAGTGGGGATCTTGTTCCATGGAACTGGAATGACAGACAGCTATGAGCCACCACTTGAGTGCTGGGAACTAGACCTGGGACCTTAGCAAGAGCAGTCAGTGCTCTTAACCATTGAGCCACCTTTGCCAGCCCTGTGAGGTATGTTAGGTATGTTTTTAACACGTGGCCTTCCCAGCTGCTGGCAGAGCTCGGTAGGCCCATGCACCTGAAATC